GCTGAAGCCTTCTCTCCATGTTCAGTGATTGGATGTCACTGATGAAGTACAAAGACTTACACATCCTCGTAATACCACAGACTCTGATGATGTCCCTCTCAACAACGACATTCTCTTCTCACTAAACTGCTTTTTACCTTAAGAGTTGAAAATTCCTGACCTGTGGATTTTGGTGGCGTTTTTCCAAGCTATTCCCAACCTTCTTAGCCGGAAAGATGAACGGCTCCAACAGCTCTCATATGGAGAAGGCAATCTGTTTACCCAGCACAGCTCTCCCAGGCATATGTTTCCAGAGCAAAGCCATAGATAGCAGCCAGTGACATTTCACATATTCAGCTTTCTGGGGGTTGGCAGCCTTATTCCACACCATGGAGCATATGGAATTAGCTTTTCTCACATTCCTTTGGAACAGAGGACAGCACTCTTGAAGGGTTCAACTGGAAGAACATGTAACAGGCTGAAACGTAGCTACGTCCACTTGAGATGAGGTAGGACCACATGCAGCACATGATTAATAGATTACATCCTAAGATAGAACAGGAGCCCAGCCAGCAAACACAACTGTTATCACAGCAGAGTGATAAATATTCATAGCCAAATACAAAGGGAGGGAGAAAAGAGCCCTCCTCTTACAATTAAAAATGGACCTAAGCTTCTGAACTCATCAAACCAAGTAAACAGCATCATAATGAGTCTTAATCAAATCTTATCTGGTACAAAGACTCTCTTGAGAGTTGTAGATATCCTAATGAGGAGACAAAATGCATCCCCCTATAATTAAGTGGAAATAGGATTAATTGCTGTAGAGGCCCCAAGACCTTCCTTGAGCACAGACCTGAGCACAAATGGGAAATCTCCCATCATCGTTGAGAAGAATTATGTCAGCTTTGGGACCAACTTTACTGCCTGGGAGACTCCCACTGGGCTATCAAAGCATCAGAGTCTTTACTTTGATAGAGACAGAGTAAGATGAGAGGAAGAATTCGAGTAACTCAGCCTAAGCATCCAGGATGCAGGCTGAAGGAAGGATACAGAAACAAGAACGTAACTTCAACTTTGGTTTTCCCTTATTTCTGCAACACAGACCAGTGGAGACAGTAGCTTTTTGTCTCCACTGGTTTAAAGATAAAGGGATAGAGGCAGTGGAGAAACAAAAAGCTACTTCAAGGCAAATTAGATCTATCCAATTGATTGAACCTTCCTTATTCTTCATTAGGGACTGTAGGGATAGGACAAGGGGTGATGGGTTCAAACTGAAACAGGGGAAGTTTAGACTGGATCTAAGGAAGAAGTTCTTTACTGTGAGGGTGCTGAGGCACTGGAATGGGTTGCCCAGGGAAGCTGTGAATGCTCCATCCCTGGCCAGGTTGGACAGAGCCTTGGGTGCCATGGTTTAGCATGAGGTGTCCCTGCCCATGGCAGTTGGAACTGGATGATCTTAAGGTCCTTTCCAATCCTGTTCTATGATTCTATGATTCTACTTGTTTCAAAAATGAAAGCTTAAAATGCAGGAGTTGTAGTTCAGTTACGTGAGCCAGCTGAGTAAGCGCAAAGGAGCTACACCAACAGCTGATGTTCTCAACTCACTGAATTCCAAAGGTGATCTCCTTTAGAGCTGGTGCTTGAAATGTGCCCCCCTTCATTGAAACAAGCATCCACTGCTCTCAGTGCTTGTCTTCATCAAGATCCAGCCCTGACACAGTGGTGGTGAAACACTGTTCTGCCAAGGATGGAGCTCCTCTGCATCTAAACTCCGTGCTGGAGCATTAAGCACAGTCAGTTGTGGAGCTCTGCCAGTGTCAGAGGTATTATCAGTTGTAGTCTAACACTTTCTTTAAAGCCAAGTGAGTTTTGGGCTGGGATAACTTGCACTAGAGCAGGTGGTGTCCTCATGGTAGGGGGTTGGACCTGGATGAGCTTTAAGGTCGCTTCCCACCCAAACCACTCTGTGATTCCATGATTCCATGACATCAACTAATACTTGTTGCAGTTGCAAGCGAAGCTGTGCTGATACCTTCCCAACAAAATAGTTTGTTTTCTTGTAACAACATTTGTGTTATCATTAAACACCACTAGACATGGCACAAGAACAAAGCTACTCTTCAGTTTCAACCACAGCAGCACACACAGGGTTTTGCAGATGCTACGATTTAATGTGACAAGGTGATAATGAACTAACTAACGTTAAAGGGCAGATTATTTGTACTGTTCACAGAGGGTGCAACCACGGATGGTGTCAGGCAACCATAAAAAACCATATCCTCAGTAACAGCAGCAAATGTAAATCCAGTAAATGGGTCTTTGCACGTTCTGGGACTTGTTTCTTCCTGTCTCACTTTATAAATGACATACATCAAACAGCTTCAGAAAAGACAAAATGAGGTCTATGAAATGGTTCCTTTTCTGCTTTCCACCTGGATGAGCTTTAAGGTCCCATCGAACCCAAACCTGTCTGTGATTCTAGGATTCCTAAGCCAGGTCCTTCCAACAACTGATCACCGGCTTCTGCCAGCATTCCAGACACCCTCTTCCCCCACTTGCTACTACGAGAAGGACCTCTTTGAAGCTCTGACCTAAATCAGGGGGCTCTTTGCTTTGTTTCATTTACCAGCTGCAGCTCCATGACCCAAATGCAGTGCAGTGGGTCAAGGAAAGGGCAATTCCATGGCTCCCCTATAGCCTAAATAAGTGACCGTAACTTCTAGCACAAATTCCATTCCCCCAACCCAACCATCAGTAATTCCAACTTAATCACTCGCACTTAAATATGCAGGAATGCTGCAAATGTTTGGTGTTCACACACTGGAAAGAATTATAATTGCATTACCAACGAAAATGTTTGTGCTCAAAGCTTACATCGTTTATTCTTCTAGAGATTAGATGTGTGCAGAAACCTCCTGTCTAATTAATGGCCCTGAAATTACTGAATGGGGCCACTTAGGGGAGTAGGGACAAAGAAGGGGTGAAGCCAAAAGAAATTACTAACCCCAAGGAAAAAGCTTATAGAATTCACTTACTGGCTACTCTTACAAACAATGAATTCTATATTATAACTTATGGCAATATATAAAAGTCACCAAGTGGTTCAAACACCTACAGAAGAGGCCATGGAGATGCTGCAAGGGCTGGAGCAGCTCTGCTCTGGAGCCAGGCTGAGAGAGCTGGGCTGGGGCAGCCTGGAGAAGAGAAGGCTCCTGAAGGGGAGACCTGAGAGCAGCTCCAGTGCCTGAAGGGGCTGCAGGAAAGCTGGAGAGGGGCTGGGGACAAGGGGTAATGGCTTGGAAGGGGATTGGAGCAAGCTGCTCTAGTGGAAGGGGTCCCTGCCCGTGGCAGGGCTGGAGCTGGATGAGCTTTAAGCTCCCTTACAACACAAACCAGGCTGGGAGTCTGTGATCCATACAGGGCCAAAGCCTATTTTGTACTGTGGACATCCTCCTTGGTCATTACTATTGCAGCACCTCCTATCAAAGCTTTACCTTTGATGACGGACTCGATTATCTTAAAGGTTTTTTCCAATCCAGTTGTTTCTATGGTTCTTTCCAGAATGTAACAAATACAAATCACCCCTGTCTGTTTTCCTCTCCACCACCTCCCCCAGGAAACGTGTCATCTCTCTGCTCACTTTTCCACTGATTTATTGGGTCTCATTAATCATACATTCCTAAGACTTGCAATCACTTAAGGTCCAGACTGATTTCATTTGTTACTCTTATAATATTCTTTGTGCAAATCTTCTCCTCTGCAACTTCTTATCCTGATTTGATTTCTTTCTGCTGCTGCTTTTATCTTTCATTCTCATTCCCTCTGTCCTTACATATTTAATCATTAACTCTGTATACACTGGAGTACAGTCTCTTTGAAACAGTGTAGTCAAAAAGGCTATTACATTTAAAGCACTTTTATAAGAGAATATAGTCTGGATTTGTTTTAAAGGAACACCTAACATTTATCACAGCAGCAGAAGTAATTTCACTCTCTATTTTCTAACCTCTTGAACTGTAAATCACATCCTAATTACATCAGGTACTCTGCATAGCTGGTGCTATGAGAAGCACTTGACTGAAACAATTACAGTTGCTCTACAGTTTTAATTAAGCAACTCAGCTGAAAACTTACAGCTCAGTTCCTGTTGCTTGCAATAGGTTTCTTGACTCACTGGCCATGAAACCAGTTCAGTTTTACCAACCCGACACCAGCAGTCAAGTATGAAGCTGGTTTATCTCTTCCTGAATCTTTACCCCAAAACAGGCCTCATAAATCACTTTAGTCTTCTGAAAGGTACCTCACAGTAGGAGTAGAAAGAGATCTAAAGGTTATTTCACATGTTTTCCCATGGACATTACAAATTACTATGTGTATCAAAAAATGCTAGTACAGAAGCACAGCACCACGTGGCAGTTGCTTCTAGAAGCCAGAAAGCATCAAGGTAAGAGGTATCATCACTGTTTTCTGGTATCGATTCCTTCAAGCAGAAGGAAACCAGTAAACTTGAGATTGCTTTATGTCTATTTAAGACAAAGCCCCTAAATTCAGAGATACCTGACCTTTACACAAGAGCAGAAAAGGGAGCGAGTTCAATCACAGCTCATCAGGAGGGTTTTTTAACATCCCTCTTCTAATCCCGAGTGTTTCATGAAGTTGATTCTGTGATTTGAGAAGTACAAAAATCAAGGGGGGGAAAAAAAAACATCTTAAAATTCCCTGATTTTTGATGCTAAAAGCTTACATTTCCCTGAACACAAGGAAGTTTCCTGTGCTCAAGGAAGCTGTGGCTGCCCCACCCCTGGCAGTGTTCAAGTCCAGGTTGGACACGGGCTTGGAGCAAGCTGTTCCAGTGGAAGGGCTCCCTGCCTGTGGCAGGGGTTGGAGCTGGAAGAGCTTTAAGGTCCCTTTAACCCAAACCAGGCTGGGATCCTATGATTCTAAACAAAACTAAAGAGCGGTAACATAAATCCTTCTGTTGTAGGAAGCTGAACATGGCAAAACCTTTTCCTTCTTACCTCAGCTTTGCGAATACTCTCTCTGGCTTCATCTATTTTCTGCTCCAGTTCTGCTCGGGTTTGCTCGGACATCACAGGCCCATGGCATTCCAGCTCTTCAAGTGTCTGTCAGGAGCAAGAAAACACATCCCACATGCAGTCAAGGCCAGCAAACCATTTACGTGATAAATATTAATGAGATGTCAAGGAAATCACTGTTTGACTAGCTGCTGAGTTGACCATTGATGGTCCATTCCAGGAAAACAAGATGATGACCAAGGAAAATATCACTTAAATACAGTATTTCACATGGAAATTCCACTTAGAGGAACACCTCAGCATCTTCACAAAAACACAGTATCGTGGTTATGAATCCACTCATCTACATGTTGATAATTCCACATTTAAATTGCTCTAGATTCATGTCTGGATGAAGAAGAGCAGCTTAAACATGGAGAGGGACGCTGCTAATGGAAGCCCTGTTGTAGAGGAAGCCAAGTGGGTTTGCTGCATGTGCAGGAATGTTGTGCCCTAAGGAGGATTTGCTGGAGCACAGAAGACATGTTGGAGGTTTCTTAGGTTCATGTACATGGATGCTGACTGTAGAACAGCACATGTGACTGCACAAACTGTCACCAAGTACATGCAAATCTGCTTCCATGACTGTTTATACACTTTGTGTTAAAGAGTCTTTGGGGAAAGAGCACAAGGAGAATCAGGTGCTAGGACCAGAATCGAGGATGCCCTCTCCTTCCTCTGAGGAGAGTTTGGCCCATCGTATTTTGGTTACAGCCCCTGTTAACACCCTCTGCCTGCAGCTACAACTGCTGTTTTCTGCTATGGAGTGACATAAGTGGGGGCCTATAAGGATGCTGGGGAGGGACTCTTCATCAGAGACTGCAGTGATAGGACAAGGGGTGATGGGTTCAAACTGAAACAGGGGAAGTTCAGGTTGGATATAAGGAGGAAATTTTTTACTGTGAGGGTGCTGAGGCACTGGAATGGGTTGCCCAGGGAGGTTGTGAATGCTCCATCCCTGGCAGTGTTCAAGGCCAGGTTGGACAGAGCCTTGGGTGCCATGGTTTAGTGTGAGGTGTCCCTCCCCATGGCAGAGGGGTTGGAACTGGATGATCTTAAGGTCCTTTCCAACCCAAACCATTCCAGGATTCTATGATTCTACAGGTTCAGCAGAAGACAGGTAAGATGGTAAACACCTTCCCTGGTCCTGCTTCTTCCGCAGTATATTCTCCTGGGTGGTTTGAGGAATAGCTCAAATTTTTCCCAATGAGAACAAGCAGCCACTGGAATAATGTCCCCAGGGAAGTGGTGATTCCCCAGTGTTGGACACTGTTAAGTTTGGATTGCACAGGGTGCTGGGACATTTAGTCTAGCTCATGCTTTGCCTGGAAAGGTTGGACCAGATGATCCCTGAGATCCCTTCAACCTGGGATTCAGTGTTCAAGGAAGTGGCATTTGTGTTTCGGAACGGGACTGTAGCAATAAGACAAGGGTCAAGGAGTTTAAACATAAACAGGGGAAGTTCAAGTTGGAGATAAGGCAGAAGCTCTTCCCTGGGAGGGTGCTGAGGCGCTGGCACAGGGTGCCCAGAGAAGCTGTGGCTGCCCCATCCCTGGCAGTGTTCAAGGCCAGGTTGGACACAGGGGCTCGGAGCAAGCTGCTCTAGTGGAAGGGGTCCCTGCCCATGGCAGGGATTGGAGCTGGAGGAGCTTTAAGATCCTTTCCAACCAAACCAATCTGGGATTCTATGAACCAAAATGAGCGAGGAGCTGCTGACCTGGCAGTTTGAGTGGATCGCATCAAGAAAGGCTACGATGAAAATGGCAGAGATAACAGACAAAAAGAACTCCTTAGGGCTTGCAGCATCTCCTCTTCCACGCATTGGGGAACTGCAAGAAACCCCACTGGTAAAGGAATGTTCTCCCAACCTACCCGCTGACTGTGGATGATGTTTTTATGCTCCCGGGCCACTCGGGTTGCCCATTTCCGAGCCTCCTTGTTGAGGCTGTGCTCTTCAGTTGTTCCAGTTTCCGATTCCAGTTGTCGGCTCTGGAACAGAGAACAAGAGAACATGTCATGACACAGACCCAGGGCTACCTCTGTAGAGAAGATGATAGTTATGGGATAACTTTATATTGCATTTATCAGCCTGGGATCTTGTTTCATACTCAACAAGACTCCACGAACACAACTCTGCTCCTTATGAACTTTGTGTGGTGCCATGTTGTGAAAAGCCAACAGTGAAACCAAATCAAAGCTCATTGGAGTCCACAACTCACATAGCCTCAGGACAAGCTGAGTGACACTGAACACCAAAGACAATTGTACTGCAATGGAAGCCACTTATGATGAACAAAGCCAAACCACAGTTTCACCCATACAGTGAATACATGCATGATAGGAAGCAGAGATGGAAGGTTACATGGGACCCAATGGGCCATTTAGGCTTGTTCGTTGTAATTTGGGATTCAATCTCAACGCCACCAAATATTTAGAACAGCAATTTCTGCTCCAAAATTTTGTCTACAAAACATCAATTTCAAATCACATTCTTGATACTGTTTCATCTTATGCTTGCTTTTACTGTGTGTTCCATTATTCTCCCCTTCAATAAATGCCAGCTAAAGCAAGATAAAGTAGTCCTCCACTGTCTCCCGGCTGAACAGAACCCATTTGAAACTCTGAAGACAGACTTCCCAGCATTTATTTACTGAAATCATTCCAAATCTCTCTGCAGTTTCCATTAGTGCACTCCCCAGTGCATTGATCAGAGAAGCATTTAGGTTGGAAAAGACTTTTAAAGTCATTAAGTCCATCCATTCCCAGCACTGCCAAGGCCACCACTGCCCCATGGCACTGAGGCCTCATCTCCACCGTGTGTGAACCCTTGCAGGACCGGTGACTGCAGCCCTGCCCTGGGCAGCCTGTTCCAATGCCTGAGCACCCTCTGGGCCAGGAATTGTTCCTCAGCTCCATCTAAACCTGCCCTGGTGCAGCTTGAGGCCATTTCCTCTTGTCCCATCCCTTGTTACCTGAGGGAAGACAGGCTTGGAGCAAGCTGCTCTAGTGGAAGGTGTCCCTTCCCGTGGCAGGGGTTGGAACTGGATGAGCTTTAAGGCCCCTTCCATCCCAAACCAGTCTGGGATTCTATGATCCAAAAAGCTGTTCAGGAAGGAGAAATGCAAGGTGAGCCAGCAGGAGAAGGGTAAGAGAACGGAAAGACAAGGAATATTTTTCAGGCTAGGTGCAAAGCCTCCAACCATGCAGGAGGGATGGATGGTGGCATCAGGTATTTGAGAAGGTGAAGAGCTTTGATTTGGTGTCAAGGAAGGGAGACAGTTTTATTTGGAATAGACTGTTGCAAAGGCTGCAAACCGAAGTGATACCGAATGGGAGATTTTTATGCCTTCAGATTATACTGTCCTCATGGGAGAGGCAATAATACCAACTTCTGTGAACATCCTATCAGAGGATTTAATTGAAAATGAGGCAAAAATTACTTCAGCTTATTTTGTTCAGCTAAGCTCCTTTTCATCAAAATTGAATACAGCTTTTATTCTTCCTCATCCTCTTCTTGTCAGAGAGCTCAGGGTAGCAGAGTTGAGGGGCTGTAAAAGAGATGATTTCCAATGGCAGAAGCAAGCAAAGGAAAGGTGGCTTTAGGATCTCTGAGGCCCTCAGCATAAAAAGGATGTGGAGCTGTTGAAGCAAGTCCAGAGGAGGCCATGGGGATGCTGCGAGGGCTGGAGCAGCTCTGCTCTGGAGCCAGGCTGAGAGAGCTGGGCTGGGGCAGCCTGGAGAAGAGAAGGCTCCTGAAGGGGAGACCTGAGAGCAGCTCCAGTGCCTGAAGGGGCTGCAGGAAAGCTGGAGAGGGGCTTGGGACAAGGGCCTGTAGGGCCAGGCCAAGGGGAATGGCTTTAACCTGCCCGAGGGGAGACTGAGCTGAGCTCTTAGGCAGAAGCTCTTCCCTGGGAGGGTGCTGAGGCGCTGGCACAGGGTGCCCAGAGAAGCTGTGGCTGCCCCATCCCTGGCAGTGTTCAAGGCCAGGTTGGACACAGGGGCTTGGAGCAAGCTGCTCCAGTGGAAGGGGTCCCTGCCCGTGGTAGGGGTTGGAGCTGAAGGAGCTTTAAGGTCCCTTCCCAGTCCAAACCATTCTATGATTCACTGCTATTTGACCTCTTTATTTACCTACATGAAGCTACTCCACCAGGTCACTGCAAAACGTAGAGGCCAAACACATGGATCCATTTAGACAGATCCAATCCATAAGATAACATTAGACCTCAGTTTTCCCTCAGGTTATTGGAGTGAGCATATTCAGCTCCTTCCAGAGCTTCCAGCTGAGCCTTAGCAGCTGCACATCTGAGCAGAATGGGTTGACATTGCCTCTCCTCTGTAAGACATCTCATGACGAATTTTCAGTGTTCCCACTAGTCTTGGTCCTTCCCAGCATCTCATTTTCATTAAGCAACAATACAGACTTCAGTCACTTGATAACCTTCTGCATTACCCCACATGTGTTTTGGGGGTTTAATCTATTTATCAAAAGCACTTGACCAGAAAGAATGAATGCAAGCTTTGTGGCTGCTCCTAAGGGCGTACTAAACCAGAAGAGGATTGTTATTGGATCAGACTGGTTCTATTAGTTATTCATAAAGCAGACTTGCAACCAAAGAGACCTCACCCTTGCTTCAAGGTCTAAAAATAACATAAAACTGGAGAGAAACCTAGAGCTGTGGTCTGTGTGGAAACCAAAAGTACAAAGAGGAGACAAGGTCTAGAGGCAAATAGAGTCTTCTGGGGAAGAAGATGAAAACAAGGGCTCCTGAGCTGGACAAGAGCAGAGCGTGTGGTGGATACACACAGTCTGAAATACCTGCCTGAGAAGACAGTGCAAGGAGAAAGGTTTTCATCCCAGCAGGACCTGGAGTGCTTCCTGAATAACTGGAGCTGGTATGGTGGGGAGAGCCTTCAGTGCCCTGTGAAGAACCAGCTGCAGGCACTTAAGGTGGCTCTGAAGGAACTTGTAAGCGGAGGAGCTTATAAGCAGCCAGATGAGTGGCACGGAAGAGCACGTGCTTCAGGAGGACTTCAAGGAGGACCCAAGAAGTCTGCGACCTCAGGTAAAGACAGGATAGAGAGGTGCATGAAGTGAGAAATGAGAAACCAACTGCCACTTAAATAGGGATGAAGAAAGGAGCTAGAAGCAGAGACTCTTCATTAGAGACTGTAGTGACAGGACAAGGGGTAACGGGTTCAAACAGGAGAAGTTTAGATTGGATCTAAGGAAGTTCTTTCCTGTGAGGGTGCTGAGGCACTGGAATGGGTTGCCCAGGGAGGTTGTGAATGCTCCATCCCTGGCAGTGTTCAAGGCCAGGTTGGATGAGGCCTTGGGTGATATGGTTTAGTGTGAGGTGTCCCTGCCCATGGCAGGGGGGTTGGAACTGGATGATCTTAAGGTCCTTTCCAACCCAAACCATTCTGTGATTCTATGATTCTAAGCACTTGGTTGTTTTCAGTGCTGGAACTTGGTGGTGGCAAGATATCCAGCTGTCCAGTGACTCAATCTAACCTCTTCCCCCAAGAAGTGGGAAAGCAAAGCCACTTACTATGGCCAAGGAACGAAGGAAGAGGCAAAAAAACCCCGAGCTAAACATAAATGGACCTTGTGCTGTTCTCTCAGGGTTTGGATTACAGTGAAAGCAGCGTTTAGTGCTATAAATTCAATCAGGAAACCAAGAGAAAGTTCAAGATGACTCCATCTTAGAGAGCAGTGATGCTGTTTCTTAAATTAACAGATGCATTTAGGTTGTAGACACATGTTGCTTCTCCATTGTGGTCTGAAATGTTGCAGGTGCAGAAGATGCCTTAAGACAGGGTCAAACACACCATTGCTCTTATTTAAGCTGTTATATCTGGATGCTGTTGGCACATGTACAGCTTTAAGAGCAAAAAAGAAGTTGGATCTTGAGCCTAAAAGCTCCTTAATTTTGTAGCTGTAGACTAAAATAGTTCAACCCAGGGGAAAAAAGGAGTGAACATTTACTGCATGCAAATCACTGGCACAAAACACACCTAAACCTCACAGTCATTTCTTTTACAGAGCTGAAAGTAAGGGGTTAGCATGTCAATGGTGCAAAGCAAGTTCAACCTCATGGTCAACACTGCTCGGGGGGAGGAAGGACAATGCATGATGTATTTCACACTACTCATAGCTAAAAAGCAGTAGTAAGAGTCAAGTTTGGTGCTCCCAAACGGGAGCCCCCACTTGCAGCACTGTGTGCAGTACTGGAGTCCTCAGCATAAGAAGGACATGGAGCTGTTGGAGCAAGTCCAGAGGAGGCCACGAGGATGAGCAGGGGCTGGAGCAGCTCCTGTATGGAGCCAGGCTGAGAACGTTGGGGCTGTTGAGCCTGGAGAAGAGAAGCTGTGTGGAGATCTCAGAGCAGCTTCCAGTGTCTGAAGGGGGCTACAAGGACGCTGGGGAGGGACTCTTCATCAGGGACTGCAGTGATAGGACAAGGGGTGATGGGTTCAAACTGAAACAGGGGAAGTTCAGGCTGGGGATAAGGCAGAAGCTCTTCCCTGTGAGGGTGCTGAGGCGCTGGCACAGGGTGCCCAGAGAAGCTGTGGCTGCCCCATCCCTGGCAGTGTTCAAGGCCAGGTTGGACCCAGGGGCTTGGAGCAAGCTGCTCTAGTGGAAGGGGTCCCTGCCCGTGGCAGGGATTGGAGCTGGAGGAGCTTTAAGGTCCTTTCAACCTAAACCAGGCTGGGATTCTACGATACTCACTGCAATTAATTTTGTATGTGTATTTTCAATAGTGCACTTCCATTCTCACCCTCATAATTAAACTCCTTCCCCTCAGCTATCACAGCAGCTCCAGTCACATCCACCTTATCCAAATGCTCTCTAATGGGTTCTATTATAACTAGAAACACAGAAAAACTGCTGCCATTAGGGATCCAAAGGGACAAAGGAATACCTTTAGAATCAACTTTGACACAGAGAAATGGATATCATAGATCTTTTCAATGTGATATACACAAAGATCTATTACTTAAGTGGCCACTTCCTTCAAATATCACTTCTGCTCTCTGCTCTGTTAGAAATGATGCAGAGCTTTGCTTCAACAGTGTTTCCTGACTCTAAAAAAAGTGAATACTAACACAGTGGTCTCTAAATTCCAATAAAATCCATTTGGTATGAGCCAATTTCAGCTCATTATACTTGAAACCAATCAGAAATGGGGTTAATGTTCGAACCACAGTAAGACAGACATTAACTCTATGGCACGGACTTCCCCCTTTTCTTCCAATTAAACCTTCAATATCAACCTCAAATATGAGTATTATGCCTCAGTCCTCCTTGTAACAACAATTGGGGCATGGGGGAATGAAGTAAAACCAGTTTTAGTTGTGTTGTCCACACACAAGACGTGTCAAATCATACAGGGAACGTACTGCTCTGCTGAGCATTTCCTTACCTCAACGGCTGCATTTCTCCTCCTCAGTAATTCCTAATGCTTTATACACTGATTAAATTAAATCTTCCTTTTTATATATCTATATATATTTAGCTTCAACAAAGCTGTAATTAAAACCAGCCACCTTCCTCTGGTCTGGTACTGGAAGCACAGACTTCTCTAAATACAGAGAAATCAGTGCATCCTCTGAACTTGTTAGGCTGGCCTTACTTGGGTGAGGGATTAATTCTTACTAGCAGTTTACATTTCATAACCCTTTTGTATTTAAATATTTATATTGAACATATTTATATGCAATAATTAGGTAAGGAAGAGTAAAATACTTAATCATAATGCATATATGTATATGATCTAAATATATAGAATACGAATACTAAATAAGCCTTAAATCTCTTTTAAACATGGAAATACATTCAATAGTAAATGCTGACCCGTGTAAACATCTCTGTCTGTGCACAGAAACCTGTTGAAAGCGAAGTCTGACAAAGCACAGCCTGATTTCCACTTAGGCAGTGATTTCCATTAACTTTCCAAGCCCTGAACACTTGCAGAGCTGAGGAGACATGTCTGGGCACAAGCAAGACTGATGCCCTTCTGTAAGTATAGCTTACATAGCTTCTATCACATAGCCTGATACAAGCTGCTCAGAAGCACAAGATATTCTGCATATGATAATGAAAATCATCCTTATTGTCCCAGTTTGTCCATTAAACTTCCCATACCCAAAGAACAAGGGGTGAAACACCAAAAACTTTCCACTGAACGTGCCGAGATGTTGTTTTTCTGCAGCTTCAGTGAGAAACCCCCATTTATTCATGTGAGAAGCTGCCACACACATCAATCTGGCTCCGGTTTGTACTTGCATGCTCAAAGAGGATGAAGGCATCAGTTAACGTCCAGGGGAAACTACGGTCACAGGCAATGTGGATAAAACAACAGGAAAAGGGCCTCAAAAGTTTAGTGTCAGCTTCTTGTTGCCATTATCCCCCTCACCATGGACAGGCTTTTTGGCATCGGGCTGCTTTTCTCACACGATAACAGGCAGTTCAAGGAAAAAAAAAACTCTTTTCCAAACAGGAAACAGAGAAAAGCTGGCTCATTTCCTTTGGATTTTGCCCTGTTCTTATGGCCAGGGCTTATCAGCGAGGCATGGGGACAGCACGCTTCAACACAAGAGATTCCTGTGGACTTAATACTTGCTTTGTGGGAGGATGCTGGGTGGTTAAGTTGTCACTACACTGAGTACAGCAGCAGCCCCAGTGTGTGCTGAATGGTTTGTCTTGTGAGGCTAAAGGGGGTACAAGAGACTCCTCTCTGTTCTCCACCTTGCTGCAGTGGCCCAGCCTGATTTGTCAATTCATTTATTGACAGTATTAGATTTAAATGGGAGTTAATGAATGATTTCTTGCTGAACACTTCTGAAGCAAACCATTCCCTTGTAGAGGGACCTGCACAAGCTGGAGAGGTGGGACCATGTGAACCTCATGGAGCTCAACCAGGCCAAGGGCAAGGTCCTGCCCATGGGCTGGGGCAATCCCAGCACAAACCCAGGCTGGGGGAGCCTGGATGGAGCAGCCTGAGGAGAAGGACTTGGGGTGCTGGGTGAGGAGAAGCTCCCCATGACCCAGCTTCAGTGTGTGCTTGAGCCCAGAACCCCCCCGTGTGCTGGGCTGCACCCCCAGAGTGTGAGCAGTGCTCAGGGAGGGGATCCTGCCCCTCTGCTGCGTGAAGGGGAGACCCCCCTGCAGCCCTGATCCAGCTCTGGGGCAGCAGAACAAGAAGGACATGGAATTGCTGGAGCAACCTGTACCTGAGTCGAGGATTTCATGGCCATCCAGTCAACATTAGTTTTTAGCCACAGCTCTAAATGCAGATTTGAGGTGGAAAATGTAAAACTAGAAGGTACAACAGCATTCAGAGCTTTGCACTGGACTGAGTTCCACATCCACATTGCTTATTCCTCTTGCCTACAATACTCACAATCCCATTCAAGCACCATGAAATGCTCCAAACTTTGACCCCAGTCACAGTGATCAGGTATTCAGCCTGCAGAGTGGCCAGGATTTGCTCTTAGAAAGGATGTGATTAGATGTATTCATCACTCAACTTACATTCCTTTGAGTGCTAGTCTTCAGTGGGAAAATTGTCATGCATAACCCACACAAACTAAAAGCAACTGAATCTCAGCAGATCATCTACAAACAGAATAGGTGGCAAAAGAATGCTTGATCAATGGAACACAATGACTTAAGAATTCATAGCCTGAGCAAATCCCTCATTCCCTTGTACTTATTGATTAATAGTGGTGAATGTCGAACCTGCTGGTGCTCAGCTAGAACCCTGTTAGCTGAGCATAATTCTAGGGATCATAAAGAAGCCTGCAGAGCTTCTTTCTTGCTGTGAGAACTGGTTACAGCACAAGCAGCTGGAAGCTCAGAAACATGCAGGGCCATAAAGAAATGCAGTCATTCTGCAGCCCAAGTGGGTCAGCCAAGTGAAGAAGTCACTGAAGGTGAAGAGGTACTGAGAGTCCTGGAGACATAGAATCATAGAATGGTTTCAATTGCGTGGGATGGGGCAGCCACAGCTTCTCTGGGCACCCTGTGCCAGCGCCTCAGCACCCTCACAGGGAAGAGCTTCTGCCTAAGAGCTCAGCTCAGTCTCCCCTCGGGCAGGTTCAAGCCATTCCCCTTGGCCTGGCCCTACAGGCCCTTGGCCAAAGCCCCTCTCCAGCTTTCCTGGAGCCCCTTTAGGTACTGGAAGACTGTTACAAGGTTTTCCTGGAGCCTCCTCTTGTCTGGGCTGAACGAGCCCAGCTCTTTCTGTCGCACACCCCATCCCTGGCAGTGTTCAAGGCCAGGCTGGACACAGGGGCTTGGAGCAAGCTGCTCTAGTGGAAGGGGTCCCTGCCCGTGGCAGGGGTTGGAACTGGATGAGCTTTAAGCTCCCTTCCAACTCAACCCATTCTATGATTATCCTATGAACAACCCATTCACTGCTTTCCAGTCTCCTGAAGTCAAGCAGTACATACAGCTCACGTGTCTGCTCTCAGACCACACAAGCACCATGTCAAAGAATCATGTAATTTTCAATGTTGAAGAGTTTAAACAAGATGAATTACATCTCTGTTTGACATGGGGAGAGCTCTCTGGATAAAGAACAGGATTAAATTAGTAATAGGGCTGCATTTCATCAGCATGTACTAATAGCTGCCAGTTGTTCTACAACTTCCCTATTCACATTAGAGAAGGAACCAATTACACACACCACTATCTGGAGCTGTGAAATTTTAATTCATGCCCCCAAAAGATTAGAATAGCAATTACAAAGTGCTGTGTGAGTGCAAAAGGGAAGCGTGCGGCTGATCCCCACAAATAACCCCATTAAATCGCTTTTTCCTCCTTTAACTTAAAGTCTCATTGTGGAAAAAGCTTTTTATTTTCATTTGATGTGTCTATCTATATATTATGCATTATTATATTATGAATGATGGAGGTCTGTCAACCTGTTTCCCCAGGTCTAAAATGGAGTCCTAAAAGGATAACGGAGGTGCTCATCCATATCAAGGCCACACTGGATGGGGTAGGACCAGGCTGGATGGGGAGCTTGGAGCAAGCTGCTCTATGGAAGGTGTCCCTGCCCGTGGCAGGGGGTTGGAAGTGGATGAGCTTTAATGTCCCTTCCAACACAAACCATTCCATGATTCAATGGTTCTATGGATTATACATATCTTATGCATTCTGTTGCCACCTCTATGTGAGCGTTAATCCAGCAACCCAAGCTTCATGCAACAAGGACACAAAGGTTAATCATAAATACTACATATACCTCTGCTATTGTCATTCTCATAGCACTGACAGGTGAGGGCTCAATATCCACCAGTTGAACTGCATTAAAACTCTAGATGCAGAGATGGCACAAGGAGGAAAACACACAGCAGTGAAGGTTAGACGGCAGGGCAAAGACAGTTAGAAAGGTTCTGCTCACTGTGTTAAGGACAAGGTTAAACTGTAGGGAAATAACTGATTCTATACAAAGGAGCTGGAAGAAAAATCAAACTCACAGTCTGTTACAATGGAAAGACAAAGGAAATTGTGTTATAGATGTGAGGATGTCTGGAAAAATCACTCTTATGTATCTGTTCAGAGGGTTCTTGAAGTTAATCACCTGGAGATCAAGACACTGCTCTCCAAGTCCTACTAATGAATTCATGTAATAAAAAGCTGCACAAGTTGAACTTTTTTATAAAGATCCAGCCTTATTTTCAGCTGTGATTTCTTAAAATAACTTCAGTAATGTGAGTGGGACATCAACAACCCACTTGTAATAAAGTACGAGCTGGAAATGTATTTATATACTAAGATTTACGCTGTTTTAATGGCATTTGGGGGAAGCACTTACACCAAAACAGTGTTTTCTGAGGGTATTTTGGAATGCAATGCTTTAACAGTGTGCTTTCTGTATCAGCTACTTCTGCTATGTGTCGGTAGGTATTCCTTGAGTAATTTAGAGGTATACGGACACTTAGTTGGCGCAGCATCACACATGATGTAAAACAGTGTTAGTGAGCATTAGGAGAACCTCACCAGCATGATAATAAGGTAACAAAATGTAGTAGGAATTACACTGAAAGCAGAGGAACACAGGACTGGCAGGCACAATCTGGAAGCACAAAAAGATCCTGCTCTTCTGTGGATGACAGGGAGCCTGCTTGATGCTTCTGTTACAATGACCCACCTACTGCCAGCAGAGCCGCTGGACTCAAGGTCACCTTCCTTTTCTTTCCCATAAATACAGATGAGGTTAAACCAGAGGGGAACACCAGTGAGCGTTATCCTCGTACTCATTTATAACAGCATTCATCAAAACAGAGCAAGAACAAAGAACTGAAGGAATCCAGGAGGGTTCTTACAGTGTCGCTGTCGCTTGGTTGGAACTGGAAAGGCTGCGGTTTGTGAAACACTGAGTTCTCCTGGAGGAAGAGCTGGAGATTGTAATCCCTCACCACCTGCAAACAAAAAGTGACATTTAGATTCATTCTGTAAACTTAAAAACATGCTGTACAGCGAAATGAGGAAGTGTTTCCAACAGAGCTCCAATCTGCAGAACCCTGAATGCACTACAAGATTCCAGCGGGACCTGAGAGCAGCTCCAGTGCCTAAAGGGGCTGCAGGAAAGCTGGAGAGGGGCTTGGGACAAGGGATGTAGGGACAGGCCAAGGGGAATGGCTTGAACCTGCCAGAGGGGAGACTGAGCTGAGCTCTTAGGCAGAAGCTCTTCCCTGGGAGGGTGCTGAGGCGCTGGCACAGGGTGCCCAGAGAAGCTGTGGCTGCCCCATCCCTGGCAGTGTTCAAGGCCAGGTTGGACACAGGGGCTTGGAGCAAGCTGCTCTAGTGGAAGGGGTCCCTGCCCGTGGCAGGGGTTGGAGCTGGAGGAGCTTTAAGGTCCCTTCAACCCAAACCATTCCATGATTCTGGTGTCCTCAAAAGAAAAAGGACATGGAACTGTTGGAACAAGTCCAGAGGAGGCCATGAGGATGAGCAGGGGCTGGAGCAGCTCCTGTATGGAGCCAGGATGAGAACATTGGGGCTGTTGAGCCTGGAGAAGAGAAGCTGCGTGGAGACCTCAGAGCAGCTTCCAGTGTGTGAAGGGGGCTACAAGGATGCTGGAGAGGGACTCTTCATCAGGGACTGCAGTGATAGGACAAGGGGTGATGGGTTCAGCTGAAATAGGGGAAGTTTAGATTGGATCTAAGGAAGAAGTTCGTGCTGAGGCACTGGAATGGGTTGCCCAGGGAGGTTGTGAATGCTCCATCCCTGGCAGTGTTCAAGGCCAGGTTGGACAGAGCCTTGGGTGCCATGGTTTAGTGTGAGGTGCCTTCCCTGCCGGCAGGGGGTTGGAACTGGATGATCTTAAGGTCCTTTCCAACCCAAACCATTCTATGATTCTATGATTCTGTATCGGCCATTAACCCATGGAAAATACAAAGTCAAACTGGGGGAAAGCTGGAACTATTGAGTAAGGACTATGTGGTGTCACTGCTGTAAATATTTTTCCCTCCTCTTGTGGATAATTTTGTGTGCACAGCTCTCTTATACAGCTGAAATGTCTGATTTTCACACAAATTATTAGTTGCCAGAGCTGAAAAGCCTCTTTGCAGTAAGGCATACAAAATCAGTTATCAAATTCATCTCTTAGGCAATTGCTTTCAGAGGAAACTCTCAAAGCTGCGTTTTGCCAACCCAAAACTCCTTCAGCTCCCAAATTTCTTTAATGATACATTCCAGACAGAGTGACATGTATCCCCAAACACTCTCTTATGTCACAATCTACACATATTTACAAAGAAAACCTCAGTGATGGCAACGTGAAAATAGAGCAGTGCTGCTTGAAGAACTCTACAGAGTATTTCCTGCTTCAGTTGCTGGAAATACAGAAATAACAGCATGAAATTATAAATAGCTATTAGCAAAGTGAGGGTTTAAATGTACAGAAGTATATAATAAGGATGGTGTTTATCCCGAAATAGCAGCGTTGTGTATGAGCACGGATTCTGATTATACTCTATGTGCAGTGGTAAATACAACTTGTTCTCCAACGCAGCACAATGCTGATGCTTGTGTTGCTGGAAAACTGAACTGTAAGAAATGATCTTCAGTTAAATAAAGTACATGGTCCTCCAGGGTCAATAATGCTCTCATGTGAAACAGTGAAGTACATAATTACTGCACCCATTTGAGCAGTTGGACACAAACACATTCAAATGTATGGAAAACACACAGGGAAGGGCCACAGGGCATCTACACTGGGAATTCCCATAGAGAGAAATTCAGAACGTGCTAAAGGAGGAACCATCTGCAGCTTCAGATGACTCTCAGCACTGACCAGGGCGTGATGATCATCCATGTCATCTCCAGTCATACAACCACGGGGTGGTTTGGGGTGGAGGGACCTTAAAGCTCATCCAGCTCCAACCCCCTTGCCACAGGCAGGGACCCCTTCCACTAGAGCAGCTTGCTCCAAGCCCCTGTGTCCAACCTGGCCTTGAGCACTGCCAGGGATGGGGCAGCCACAGCTTCTCTGGGCACCCTGTGCCAGCGCCTCAGCACCCTCACAGGGAAGAGCTTCTCTGACACTCAGCATACGAAAATCACAGAATGGTTTGGATTGGAAAGGACCTTACGATCATCCAGTTCCGACCCCCCTGCCATGGGCAGGGACACCTCACACTAAACCATAGCACCGAAGGCTCTGTCCAACCTGGCCTTGAACACTGCCAGGGATGGAGCATTTACCACTTCCCTTGGCACCCGGTGCCAGTGCCTCAGCACATTCACAAGGAAGAAATTCTTTCTTCTATCCATTCTGAACTTCCCCTGTTTCAGTTTGAACCCATCACCCCTTGTCCTATCACTGCAGTCCCTAATGAAGAGTCCCTCTCCAGCATCCCTGTAGCTCCCTTCACACACTGGAAGCTGCTCTGAGGTCTCCACGCAGCTTCTCTTCTCCAGGCTCAACAGCCCCAACGTTCTCAGCCTGGCTTCCCTGCACAAATGAGCCCTGTTTCTGTGTGGGTGGTTCTGGTAAACACAGAAAGGAATATTATGACTGCACCACAGTTGGAGCCCAATGGCTATTACATGTATTTGGGTTTTTTTCAGCCTTGCAGATGAATTATCCAAGTATCAAAACCATCCTGGAAGTGATCATGTATTTCTGATTCTGGTTGCTTGACAAAGCAAACAAACCATGTTCACGACAAGGCTCCGATCTGTTTTCTCTGTCATAACTAATTCAAAGGAGAACAAATCCCCTAATGTTGTGGTATTGAAGTTGACAGCCAATGATTAAGAGATGATCCAAACTGTTTCACCGGGATTTGATGGGAGGGATGACTAACATGAGTCCACATCCCACAGTGCACAACTCTCAGCTGCCATTTCTCCTGCCAAAGCTGCGTAGTGAGTATAACTGAACATCTCCTGAGAGCTGTTCTATAAAGAATGGGCACTGTGTAAATGCACTCCTGAGAATGCATCCTGGGTGGCAATAGGAAAAATTCCCACCAGGAAAACCAGCTTGTTTCTTTTAACTGAATACCACTCACAAGCAACCAAAAATAATGAGCCTTCAGGCTTGTCCTTATTCTGGAAGAAAATCCTAAGCCTGGCAATGACATATATGCTCCAAGTATTCAGTTACGAAGGATCATACAGTTCCAACTTACCCTGCTGGAAGTCTCCAGTAGAAATTGAAATGTGTTTTGTACAGCTTGGCATGTCTCTAGTTCAGTCCTGCTGAATGCCATTAAATAATCCTTAAGGTGATCATATACATTCCCATCGAGAGCCTGCAGGAGGGGAAGAATTTAAGAGAATTAAGAAGAGTACTTTTATATGTGATTTATCAGGATTCATATTTTGAGTTTTAAGCTGATCATACAATTTATTTCTAATCCATTCTTGTAGTTTAAACTCAGTCAGGGAATTCGTTCCCTCACTCCCCCCACTTCGTTCCCTCCCCCTAACCATTAAACCTAACCCTAACCGTCACCCCTAACCCTAACGCTAACACTAGCTCTAACACTAACCCTAATCCTCACGCTAACAATAACCTGTAACCCTAACCCTAACACCTCACCAGAATCATAACCCTAACCGTAAACATTACCCAAAACCATAACCATAAACCTAACCCAAATATTTAACCCTAAACCCTAACCCTAACCCTACCCCTAACTCCTAACCCTAACCCAAACGCTAACACTAACCCTAACTCTAACACTTAACCCTAACACTAACCCTACCCCTAACTCCTAACCCTAATGCTAACCCTAACCCTACCTTGTAAAATTAAACCTAACACTTAACCCTAACCATAATACTAATCCTAAGCCTTACGCTACCCCCTAACCATAACCCCTAACCCTTAACCCTAACTCCTAACCCTAACCTTAACCCTAACCCTAACCTGTAAACCTAACCATAACCCTAACCCTAAACCTTACACTACCCCCTAACCATAACCTCTAACCCTAACCCTAACCCTTAAACCTAACCCTAACCCCTAACCCCTAGGTTAACCCTTAACCCTAACCCAGGACACCCATGCACCTATACTTATTAGCCTTGGATAGTGCCTGGCGGATGGCATTCATTTTTGACAAGCAGGAATGACAGTGCTTCAGTTCCATTAGATGGCACCACAGAGCATTGTAATAGCACCTCCTATGAAATGATTTTCCTCCAGTTGTGTAATATAGCCAGAGCAGAACAGTGAAGTCAGGTCTGGAGAAGAGGAGATGTGATTTATGTCAAGGAAGGCACACAGTAACTACAAGGATACGTATGAGGCTTCTCCTCAAAGCACTTCCTCGCTCCAAATGACATCTCCAAGATGCCCAACATCTTTATCATTCAAATACAGTTATTTGCTGTTAAAACCCACTGATAACAGCTGCCATTTCACATCAGCACAACAGAACTCTTCTGTACACAGAAATCCCCAATACATCACAAAAAGTTATCATAAATTGAACAGTTATAGCAAAGTTCAAGCTCAAAAGCCCTGTTCCAAACCAGAGCTGGAAAATCACATCGCAGGGCCTGGGTTACACATTGGTTTAATGAAAGTTCTGCCTTAAACCTGCAAAACTGTAAGTGAAATGATAATTCCATTTAAATGCTCAACTCTGGATATAGTTATCTACACTGTCTCGATATATTTAATGATACCAGATTTCACAGATATCCATTGGAGTGGTATACTCAGTGAAACAGTGTACATCAGATTTCAACAGAGTCAAGAATGCATTTCTATATAACACTGCATTTGCCTATTTAAATCATCTTGAAAACTCAGGGAGAGAAAAAGGGTGAAATTGTGGAAGCCTACAGCAAAGTCAAGCCCAATGTTAAAAACCAGGCTAACAGACACATGTGAATCAGACAGAAATCAGAGAATCCCAGCCTGGTTTGGGTTGGAAGGGACCTTAAAGCTCATCCAGCTCCAACCCCTGCCACGGGCAGGGACACCTTCCACTAGAGCAGTTTGCTCCAAGCCCCTGTGTCCAACCTGGCCTTGAACACTGCCATCACCCCTCGTCCTATCACTACAGGCCCTGAAGACAACTAACTAACCATTATGAACTAATGAGGAACAAAAGAGGTTGTCCTTCTGCAAGAGAAGTTCCCCCCATCAGCACAGAGCCACAGCAACCACCTGATTACATTAACTGACACACAGACATCCTCACTAAAGGATGCCTGGAGGAAAATAATAGAATTGATTGACTGGAATTCTCGCACCCAAAGAAGTTTTATATCCAAAATCCACTTTATGCTATAGAATTTTCCCCATCCTCCACCTCCCAAGGATAAAGTCCTACCTAGCAAAGGCTGGGTTTTTTCCCCTTCAAGTCTTAGACATTAAACCTGCCTGTAATGTGCCGGTACACAAAATTCCAGAGGTCAGGAAAGAGCCAGCCAGGCCACAGTGCCAAACCAGCAGCAAACATGGGAATTTCCTCCAAGCTCCTCCGGTGGCAGCAGCTCACTCAGCCCTAAGCCATCAGCAACCAGTATCCAAGCCCAGCTTGAAGGGTCAGCAGCTAGGGCGGATCCATGAGGCCCCAGCCATGGAAAAGCTCCATGAAGGGAAGGGAGAAGCAGCGTATGGCTGGGCAAGAGCTATAGGTTTACTTCTCCAGGGTGTTTTAAGTGATGGCAGCTTCATCAAATGCTCTTTTCAGCATCACATATTTAAAAAGAATAATGAAATACGAGCTTATGACTGGGATGTTCTATTGATAAAAATGCCAGGAAATTCCATGAAAAACCTACTGCGACACATATATGCAGGTTCATGGAATCCCAGACTGGTTTGGGTTGAAGGGATCTTAAAGCTCCTCCAGCTCCAACCCCTGCCACGAGCAGGGACCCCTTCCACTAGAGCAGCTTGCTCCAAGCCCCTGTGTCCAACCTGGCCTTGAACACTGCCAGGGATGGGGCAGATGTTCAGCTCTTCCCTGTCTTGGTATAAGACACCTCTACCTGAATTTGTACTGCTAATCCGTAAGGCACAGTCCTAGGTTAGCCCAAGTATTGTTAACACCTCATGAGCTTTTACAAAGCTGGAGGGATGAGCCCACAGCATCACGGTTATAGGAGTGCCCAAGTTACCATCCCATCTCAACAACATTTGATATCACATCAAACACACACTGTCCCAACAGCACGGCTGTCTTATACACAGGGGCACGGAGCAAGCTGCTCTAGTGGAAGGTGTCCGTGTCCATGACAGGGCTTGGAAACGGATGAGCTTTAAGGTCCCTTCCAACCCAAACCAGGCTGGGATTTTATGATTTTATGGTAAAAATGCCAAGATTGGTTGCACTTCCCCAAAAACCACAATTTGGAGATTTTATGACAGAGCGTGTCTGCTTCTGAAGCTTTTCAGCCCAAACACCAGGCTCGAGTTGTGCTAATACATGTAAATAAATAGCTGAAGCTTGGCAAAGCAATTCTAAATGCTGTTTTGCAAAGCAGCTGTGATTTTTGCCTTCCAGTGTGCTATAAACCCATATTCCAGAGCTCGCCCCCACCTTCCTATAAAGCCCATATGTTCATTTTATGTTAAACCCAGCAGGAGGGTTCACAGCATTTAACTTGAGCCTTCTACAGCCCTGATGCATACGCTGGAGTTTGTCACTCTCGGTTCTTTACAGTGGAGAGAAGTTGGTACTTGTGTGGTGTGATTCAGAGAATCCCAGCCTGGTTTGGGTTGGAAGGGACCTTAAAGCTCATCCAGCCCCAACCCCTGCCACGGGCAGGGACCCCTTCCACTGGAGCAGCTTGCTCCAAGCCCCTGTGTCCAACCTGGCCTTGAACACTGCCAGGGATGGGGCAGCCACAGCTTCTCTGGGCACCCTGTGCCAGCGCCTCAGCACCCTCCCAGGGAAGAGCTTCTGCCTAAGAGCTCAGCTCAGTCTCCCCTCGGGCAGGTTCAAGCCATTCCCCTTGGTCTGGCCCTACAGGCCCTTGTCCCAAGCCCCTCTCCAGCTTTCCTGCAGCCCCTTTAGATACATAAGAAAAACCATCGAAGAAAAGCATGTCAAACCACCAGGAACCCCCCCTATCTGTCAGCATGTGGAAAGTGTGTCACAGCCTTTCTCCCTTCATTAATTAAAAGCGGTTTCGATATGATGAAGTTCTTAATTACTGTTAAGAGCTGCCAGATTTGAACTCAGTAAAGGCAACACGATGCAACGCAGGTGTGGTTGGGAGCCAGGAGAAGCCAGGGCTGCATGTGCAGCTCCAACACACGGAGAGCATTCACTGCACAGCAAACATGACATCCCACCAGTTACAGGGCACAGAGCTACCTGCTTACACATTGCTTTCAGTGATAATGTGGTTATTCCTTCTAGAAATGGCGATTAGTGTATGAAGCTGCATATGTTAGTATTAAAACAAGATCTGACTCGCTGAACTATGTGATATAAAGACATTTCCTCTGGGATTTCATCACCTGAATCTCATTCACTTACAAACACCCTGACCCAAACCTCTGAACATCACCATTCATGTTGCGAATACAAAGTCTTTTCAGGTTTTTTGATCAAACAGCTTGAAGGGGGAACTGGAAAAAGAAGGATTTCAAGAAGCCCAGCCCATATTATTCCTCTACAATGGCTTTTGTTCTCTCTCTGAATCTCCAAAGATTAGTAAATCACTCACTGGGTTACAATCACACTGAAATCCCGTCTATTTTTCAACCTCAAAAGGAAATCAAGGTTTTCTTCTTTATTAAAACCCAGATCTGACATCAGTACCAAGACAATACAAAGCACCACACAATTACAACGTCCAAGGGTAGATAAAAGTCAATGATTTATAACAAATAATGTCTTTACAATGGAACTGTCGAGGTAAAGGTGCAAAAATCCTTCCTCACCTGAGTCCAAGCTTTACAAAATACTGGATGAAATCAGGACTGGGAAGAACTGATACTTAACAGCAATGGATACACAAGCAAATTAAAGTGTATTTCTACAGGAAACCCTACACATTAATTCACCCTGGGAGGGTGCTGAGGCGCTGGCACAGGGTGCCCAGAGAAGCTGTTGCTGCCCCATCCCTGGCAGTGTTCAAGGGCAGGTTGGACACAGGGGCTTGGAACTGGATGAGCTTTAAGGTCCCTTCAACCCAAACCATTCTCTGATTCTGTGATTGCCTAGAAATATATATTTCTAGAAATATATATATAAATATATACAAATATATATATACATATCTAGAAATATACATATATTTCTATAGTCAATATATTTTATATATTCAAACACAGGCA